CACTTTGAAAATGTGAAGGTGAAAGGTAACTTAGATGACAATGACCATGAAATAATAGAGTTCAAGATCCTAAGGGGAGGCAGGAAGGAGAACAGCAGAATAAGGACACTGAACTTCAGAAGACCAAACTTGAACAAACTTAGGAAACTGGTGGGCAGGATCCTTTTGGAGAAAAGTCTGGCTGGAAAAAGAGTCCAATACAGATAGTTGTACTTTAAGGAGTTTCTCTTAAGGGCACATAAGCAAGTTATCTTGATGAGGTAGAAGAATGGGGAGTGCAATAGATAGGGTTGCCAACCCTCCCAGATTGACTGGGAGTCTACTGGAATCAGCATCAATCTCCCAATGACTATTGAAAGCAATCCAGGACACTGATATTGTGAACAGGCTGAACAGTACAATTAATGACATTACGTCATGTTGGGGGAAAAAAATCTCCCAGAATAGCTTCTGTCAGAATTAGCAACCCTAGCAATAGAAAACTAGCCAAGCTACACAACAATTTCTTCAAAGAGCTGAAACTCAAAAAGGAATCCTATAAAATGGGAAACTTGGTCATAGTATCATGGAAGAATATAAAAGTATCACACAGCCATACAGGGAGAAATTTAGCAAGGCCAAGGCACAGTTTGGGGAGCAGCTCATTAGGGACATAAAAGATGATAAAAAGGGATTCTACAGGTATCTCAAAAACAATAGGAAGAGTAGAGAAGCCATAGGTCCCTTACTGAATGTGGAAGGTAATCAGGGGATCAGTTAAGGAACTATCTAAATGCCTTCAAGTTGGCCAATGGGATGCACCCAAGAGTACTGAAGGAATTGACTGAGGTAATTTTGGAGCCATTGGCTGCCCTCCTTGAGAACTTGTGGAGGTCAGGTGAGGTCCTGGATGACTGACAGAGGGCAAACATAGTGCTTATCTTTAAGAAAGAGAAAAGGAGAATCCATAGAACTACAGACCAGTCAGCCTGACCTCGATACCTGGGAAGATCATAGAACAGGTCCTCAAGCAATCCATTGTGAAGCACCTAGAAGAAAACAAAGTGGTCAGGAAAAGCCAGTCTGAATTCACCAAAAGCAAGTCATGCCTGACCAACACAATTTCCTTGCATTATAAAATGACAGGTTCTGTAGATGAGGGGAAAGAAGTGGATGTGGAATACCTTGACTTTAGCAAGCCTTTTGGTTGTGTCCTACAACATTCTTATTAGCAAACTGAGGAAATATAAACTAGACAATAAAACTGTAAGGTGGATACCTCACTGGTTGAATTATCATACTTACCACGTAGTCCTCAATGGCACTGGGAGGAGGTACCAAGCAGGATCCCTAGCAGGTCTATCCTGGGTCTAGTATTGTTTAATATTTTCATTAATGATTTCAATGATGGCATCAAGTGCACACTGAGATATTTGTGGATGACACCAAGTTGGCTGGAATTGTGAACGCTCAGGAAGGTAGGGTGAAGATCCAAAATGACCTGGATAGATGGATGAATGGTCCACAGCCAATAAGGTGAGATTCAACAATCTCCTGCACTTGGTATGGAATAACTTCACGCACAGATACAGAATGGGGAATAACTGGCTAAGCTGCAGTACCACAGAGAAGGACCTGGGGGTTACAGTGGACCACAAACTGAATATGAACCCACAGGATGCTCTTGTTGCCAAAAAAAAAAAAAAGCCAACATCATCCTGGGCTGTATTGCCATGAGCTTCACTTGCAAATGAAGGGAAGTGATTTTTCTGCTCTATTCACTGGTGAGGCCACACCTGGAGCACCATGGTCAGTTTTGGGCCCCACATTTCAAGAAGGATGTAGATACATTGTAGAGAATCCGGCTCAAAGTAAAACAATGATTATATTCCTGGGAAGCAAGATTTGAGGAAAGGCTGAGAGAGTTAGGGTTATTAATTTGGAGAAGAGAAGACTGGGGGGGGAGGAGGGAACAGTTTTCAAATACCTGAAGGAAGATTATGGAGATGGGCTTTTCTCTGTGGCTTTAGGAAACAGAACTAGGAGCAACAGCCTCAACCTGTATCAGGGGAAATTTAAATTGGAGATTAGGATGAACTTTCTATGACTGGTCAAGCCATGGAGCAGGCCACCTAGAGAAGGTGTGGAATCTCCATCCTTTGAAACTTTAAAAAGCAATTTAGACAGACACTTGGCTGGCCTGGTTTATTCAGGGATGATCCTGCCTTGAGCAGGGGACCGAACTAGGTGACCTTGGGAGGTCCCTTCCAGCCCAACTTTCTTCTGATTCTTATATCTATACTGCTTTCCTGCTAAGCCTAGGACCACAGGCTGAGAAACAAGCCCTGTGCACTCACTCCCACTCTGTGCTGGCTGACTAGCAGGCATCTTATATGGCTTAGAGTAGGGGTAGGTGAAATTTTCAGGCTATAGGTCAGAATAACCAACCCCAGATTAAAGGTGAACCAATGGGTGGATGCTAGGATCCCACCATTGCTGCTGCTTGTCTCCACAGAAGCATGGGGAAACTACCTGCAGCCAAAGCCCCCTGCTGCTGAATGCTGCTGAAACTCCATGTCCATTGGCTACATCCAGCGGGTCTGTGGGAAAAATCCAGCCCACAGGCTATCAGTTGTGGCTTAGAAGAACAGTCCTGAGGGCATGCTCCAATGCTACTGTCAGCCCTTTTCTCTGTAGGCAGAGTTTATCAGAGATATGCCAGATTAAGCAGAGACGTGGCATGGAAATGGCCTAAGTTGTGTTCCAAGACAGTGGCATACTAATCAGCATAGATTTTTGCTAAGCAGCTTGGCAAAGGCTCCATAACTGAAAAATCCATACCATCCTTTATTTTAAAGTGTTCCAATTTAGTCATTTAAAAACAAAATGTGATGCTATTAAAAAGCAGCTGGTAATGAGATCAGAGAAAACGAATAATTCAGAAGTATTTTATCTGGCAGATTTAGCCCCTTTCTCCTCAGATTCATTCATTCATTATACAAAATTATTTGCTCTTTTTAACTCTGTGATTGATTTGAAACAATCTTCTGCAGCCATTTCATACTTGATATGCCCTATTTATGTTAGAGGATTCACATAGTCTAAGGATGGCAAACAGATATCAAAGAATAATAACTAGTCTTCCCTTGCTGTGTTGCTAAGTGGAGGCAAAATCCTGGCCAGATAAGAGCAGTGTTCCTCACACTGAAAAAGTTGAAGCTCACTGCACTGATCTATGGTATTTAGTTTGCATAGCTTAGATAAGTCACCTGGTTTTGCTTCTGTTTTTCGAGTGGCCGAGTATGCAGACACTTTCAGCAAACATGAATTAAAAATTCATTTCCTGCAAACATCCAGGTGTTTAAATTTAAAATTCCCTTCCCTTAAACATTTGTGTCAGTAAATCTTGGGCATGCTAATGTCACAGAGAGAGAAGGTCTACAAGATGTAAAATTGTTAAGAATGTGACTATTAATGTGCAGAAAAGTGTTGTAATTGTTTATTTTTGCTTAGCTTTGTTTTGTTTTCTCTTGGTATTCTTCATCCTGCTCCACTTTAAGAAATCATATTTCTTAGATTCAAACATTTGAGGTCCTTTTACTTGTTTCTCTACTATCATATATGCCATTACTTGCTTACAGTGCCCCTCTGCTGTCTATGTTGCGCAGATGGGGCGATCCTTATGTGTAAGAATGAATTAAAACCTATTTGACATCAATTCCAAAAGGACACCTGAGCCTGTGCGGGAGACTTTAACCTCCCTGATCTCAGAGTAGCTGTTCTTAGACAACAAAACTTTCAAAACCAACTTGAACTGAAGAACAAAAAATCACCCACAGACTGAATTGTGTTAAACGCAGCGTAGACCAAATGTACAGATCCTTATCCCATTACCTAGATTAGCTTTTATAAACCTTATGTCCCCCAATGGGTTAACTGCTTTGTTTTTCCTCTCTTCTAACCGCTTTGCCTCTTCCAGCAGTGCCTGCTCCTTGTTCCTCCCCCTTCCCTGCCCTTTGTATTCTAATCACTGCTTTCTATATAGAAGCGATTCTTCCTACAGTCTGTTCTCAGCGTTTTCTGAAATAATATGCTTCTTCTGATTTAGTCTATAAGGTACAAATCTACACTGCCTGCAAATCTACCCTGAAATCATAAAAAAGGTCAACCCAGGCAAACACACTGGCTTTGCCCAGCCTCAACAGCAATTCTACCAAAAGATATCGGTAGCCACAGAATATATTTCTGACTCTGCAAAATATTACGAAATAAATAGCAATACTCCCAAAGTATAAGCAGCCAACATTTTGCAATCAAGTCTAAGGTTTACTTGAGGTTGGTTATCAGAACAGTGGAAACTTTGATTCTCAAAGTCAGGAGTAAATGAATGCACATCATAGGGATGTTATGACCATTTAATCGTTTTTCCATAAGAAAAGATTAAAATGCCTTAGTTATGCTAGATTAAATGCTCATTCAATAATTGCAATGGACAGTATGCTTTCAGAGTAGGAGAATTAAATTAAAAGAAAGACAACTACAGAAAATGTACTAGTGGTAGAATTAGAGAATGTTTCATCAGTTCCTGATGTCTCTACAGTAATGAATCTGTCAAAAGATAATAATATTTTAGTGAAAGGTGTGATTGGATAAGTCACGTTATTTATTAACTGTTACCCTAAAATATCACTTTTGTCTTATTATTAAAGAATGGTTAGAGGGCAGCAGGGATGCCTGACACAAAGCATTAAAAAATGGATTATGGCTATAACAGGCCTTGGAGTGTATATGCTATGCTGTAAACTCTGTGGCATAACTTGCTAATACCTGATGACTGTGAGCATTCAAGAAACTGTAAACTAGCAGAGACTGTATCCAAGTTCCTTAGATTGATATAGTAATTCACCCAGTGCATTTAGCTCCCTGGAGCTATGTTTGTCAGAACAGCTTAACTGTCCATATCTATGTCCTTAGCATCTAATCTTGATTTTCAAAGCATTGCAATTAAATATGCTTTTTTCCTCTCCTTTTTCCCTTTTTTGTATGGTGGTGGTAATGGTGGTAGGCAGGGAATGTATCACTGTGCAGCAAGCAGCACCAAAAAAATCTCAGAAAGATCACAGACAGCTATATGGTGGTTCCCAAACATATACTGTGTTATCATGAGTCTACACTGATCCAGCTGTATTCCTGAGTGAAGACTAGATCTTTAAAAGTCCCATATGTAGCCTAAAGAGGAAGTTTCTGACATGAAAAAGAACAGATTTAAATTCTTCAGTGCTTAACATTATACAAAAACCTGAGCTAGCTACATAGACAGGTTACATAAATCATCATCCATTTTCTTTGTCTATATAAAAGACTCAAAAAATAAAAAGGGGAAAATGTTGATTATTCAGTCACTTGGTCATATAAATTATTTAATATATTCTCAGTCTGTGTTTCCTAAACCCAAATTAGCTGTTACAAGTGGGGTTTTGCCCTACTGTGCTGAACTGCAGCACCTATTGGTTACTTACAATATTCATTCTTTCCTGTGAATATGGCTGTAAGATCACCTCACACTGATAAAGTGCAAGATATGGAGTTGTGTATAGTAGAAGCTTTTACACAACAGAATGTAGCAGGCTTTATCTAACTATGTAAGATTGGCTAAAACGATTCCTTAACTTCATTCATAAATGAAATGTAACCTGTATTTCCAGAAGGTATTCTGATTAAGAAAAGATGCAAGGTCACCAATTATTCCAAGAAAAGAAAGTACCTTGGAGAATGAGAAACACCTATTCACAGTGGATACATTCACTGATAAAAGCACTACTATTTGGTAGCGATATGATTTAAAATGATTCAAAGTGCTGTGCTAAGTATGGGTCTTTCACACATTTACAATGCCACAGTGCTTTTTTAATATCAGAGCTACATTAGCTCTGAACTAGGACACCACTAGCAAGTTGTTGATTTTTTCCCCCTCATTGCCAGAAGAACTGCCATTATTTTGAGGAATGACAATGTAACATTGGAAAATGCTGATTGTTAGCATCCCCAAAATATTTCTAAATATATGACTGTCCTAGGCAGTCTGCAATGTCTGCAGACAAGTCAAGCATTCTGTCATGGGACATCTAACATGGTAGCTCCCAGGGCTACAAGGAGATTGTCACGTAATATCAGCTTGATATATGACATTGGTTCCCTGGTGTACCGTACAGTTCTTATATGCCAGGGGTTTGCTTATGAGACATGTGGGGGTAGAGGGTAGAATGATTAAGACATCATGCTGGGGGTGCTGAGGTATCAACTAAAGTGTTGGTCTGGACTTGCACTGATAGCTGTCCAGGTGCAAATGGGTATCTGGTGATTTAGATCGGGGAGTCAAAGGCAGCTGGATATAAGACTGGCTTATGTAGCATTGGCTGCCAGAACTAGCGTGGCTTAACTACAGCAGTCCAAAGGGCATCCAAGATTGAGGCAAACCCTCACAGAAGTGTATGGGCAAGATCTGCTTCTCTGTGGGGTTCTCAAGAGCGCTGTGGAAGCTGTAGAGACATAACCTAATTTCCAGAATAAGACTCATTTGTTTGTGCCTTGCAGTTGTGTGTGATGCTTGAAGTGGAGATTTTGATGGATCCTTGGGTAAGTGATTGCCTGCAAGTGCAGGGAACTGGAATTGATGGTTCAAGAGGCCCAGTTCAGTCCTACATTCCCATGTGTTGCTCTAAATGTATGGTTCTGTTTCATATTACATACTGGCAGTGTTGCAATAAGCTAGCTTTACCAAGCATAAGGGATGATCCAGCTGTAGGCATATAGGATTGGTTTATAAAGTATTAGCCTAACTCTGACCCTACTGATGTGTGTGTGTGTGTATACACACACTATATCTACTATATAGTATAATACATATACTTTTGGAATTAGCTAACTTTAACAAACATTAAGGATGCTCCAGCTATAGGCATATAGACTTGGTTTATATATATATTGAAGACAAGGAGCACGTAAGGTGCTGAAACAAAGCAAGGTGAACCAGCCACTTTCTTCTGCTACAGGAACTGAATATAGGCAGAATAGGTCTGCCTTTAAGTGCCAGTTGACCACCATAGTCCAGGCTTACTGCCTAATTCTGGTTTCCCCTAAATAATACACTGGTCACTTGTGACAAAAATTGAAGAGGACTGTACTTAGGCTGGGCTGAGAGGCAGAAGTTGGGATTTATCTAGTTACATATGTACAGCAATAGAAGCTATACATGCAGATGTACATGTGCACATGTTGCATGAGTATGTGAGCACACACATGTGTACATGTGTGTGCACACACACACACACAAACACACGCAAAAGATCATTCCTGCAGAGTTAAAATGCCCATCAGTCTCTGCACCTATTTAGAAACTATGTCAAAGATTTACCAGCATCTACATCATATATTTTTAGAATAGAGAGGCCAGAGACTAGAGAAAATGACAAGCAATGAATAGAGATTGTTTTCAATATTTCAGAATCAGATTAATGTTATTTGCACACCAGCAAAGCTAGAGTTAACATAATCCATAAATGCTTCCTACAAAGCAATTATAGCAGTTCTTAAAAGAGTCTTACTTTGCACAGCCATAACTACACAACATACAAAGCAGTGGAAAATCAGGATCATTTAACTATAATGATGCTGAGCAAAATAAATATTTCTACAGAAATCGCAGTGTGCTGACTAATACATAAATAACAAGACATAATGAAATGATTGACTTAAGGCATGAGAAAATCCAGACTGGAAAATAATCCATCTCCTAATATTCAGCAGTGGCAACAGCAACATATTATTTTGAAGGGAAAAGAGAAACACTTCATAAAGATGCTTGTTTTTTAGGTCATCAGTACTAAGTAAGTTTTTTTTGTTTTTATGCCATTCCCCCATTCCATTGTCTCCAGACCAGAAAACCCTGTAACTACTCTTCTACCAACTGGAATGTAGTCTGGTCCTAAGGTGAAAGAGAGATGTTTTCCCTTGATTGCCAAATACTCACTGACCTTGCTTACCTACCATCACACCTCGAGACAGTTTCAGTGATAGAACATACTGGGAGTAAAAGTGCTCAGAGAAGCCACACACACACACACACACACACACACACACACACACTTCCCCCACCCCATTGGAAGTTATGCATGCATCAGTAGCAGTGATTAGAATATGGCTGTTGTAGTCCTCTGTTATTTATTACAGAAATTCTTGGTGCAAGCAACAACAATGTACAACAATCTGATAAACAGTACAATTTTTTTCTTTCAAGGTCAGTTCCAAGAAACCCTTGCTAGAATCAGCTAATTAATTTTGGCCTCTTTAACTACAAGGTATTTGAAGCCACATGTTATGAATCATTTTCAGTTGAGATATTAAAATCAGATTACAAGAGAAAAGCCTTGTAAATATTTGCCTTCAAATGAGTCTAAGAATAAATATATATTCAGTAATTCATCCATATTTAGCAGATATTAGAGAGACAAAGCATAGCTTTAAATTCACTTATCATTTTATACAAAGAGGGGAAATATGAAACTTGGCTTGATTAGCTTGTTTCTTCCTATGCTTTGTAATACCTTATTAAAATTTGAACTTTGAAATTGATATTATCAGTCAAATAATGTCAGTAGAAATATTTAATCTGTGGTTAGAGCTTTAGTTAATAGAAGTTTTATTTGAAGTATTTTATGTCCAAAGGGAAAAAATAATAGAAAGAAAGCCTAGAATTGACTTGGAAGGTTGATTTTTACTTCTGTGATTCTATTTTAAAACCCTACATAAGTTGCTGCTAAGAAAAACTCTCTGAATCTATCCCCAATTAGATTTATAAGATTATTTTACTTTCATTGGGGAAAATGTTCCATTTTAGTCTGGGAGGTATTCAGGTCTTGATGCTTTGCAAGGTTCAAATGGCCCATTGCATTAAGCAGACAAAGACTATACTGTTGTGTATAGCTGGGAGAAACTCAAAAGAGCTGTTTTCTTTTTTCTTCTTTTTCCCCTCCTGATAACATTTTAACAATTAAGGAAACCCTGTATAGCATAGAAATTGAATAGGAAAATCACTGATTCTTACCTGGTTCTTGACAAGTCAGTAGAGTTAATTAATTTAACGACAAGTTTATAAAGCTCTGAAAGATCTAATCCAAAAAAAATTAAATTAGATATATAATTGGTGACAATATTATAATTATTTTACAAGAATGAAGCTATTTATATAGCCTCCAAAGGGAAGTGACAAATAAACATCACTTCTGAGTTTTGGCAACATAGGGGCTGCATTTATGGAAACCTGAGTGACTGTCACTCATAGCTTTCCATTTTGTGGTATAGTAATGTCACTGGAAATAGACTCCAGTCTCTCTGTAAAGTAGCTTTTCATCTCCACTGACATATACACCAAATACTGCGGAGTGCACCCTATAAAGAGATACATATGAGAGAGAAGGAATCATGAACTCTTGCTGTGCATTGTTGTTTTTCCACTAAAATATACAAATTGGCAGCTCTGTCACTTATGAATTCACATGGATAGATTTCCTCTTGATAAGACCATTTTATACCAGCAATTTTAAAAGAAAGAAAGTAAGGCAGGAAGAATGAAAGACAGGAAAGCAATGTTTCATGTAGGATGCAGTTTACTGAAAATCACAGTTTCTCACAGTTTGTAAAGGAAATAAAATGCGACTGTTCATTTCATAGAGAATCTGATTTCACAATCGCTCCACAATTTTTAAAAAGGGGGTTAAAACATTTAAAAGGCTTCATTCATCCATGCACTGTCTAAAGAGCTCCTTATGTGAAGAGAAAGCACAGAAATACTCCATATAGGCTACAACATGCTGATGTTCCAAGTGGTCTCAGACATCCTTTCTGACACTCAGTGCTTCTTTCTCTCTGTCACATACATAGCATTTCCACATTATATATTAGCAGGCCACAACTATTATGGTCAAAAAGGCAAGAAAATGAAATATGCCGCATCAGGCTGTTTGACACATTTTTAAATGTGACAGTGGTTGTGATTTCTAAAATATTTCTAAATCTCCATCTTGAAAGCAAATATCAAGTATAGTTAGGTGTCTACTTAACTCGTGGTGAGAGAAAGTAATTTTCATGTCTTGGTCGTGGCCTGAAGAACTGATTTTGCAGTCATATTGCAGTGGCCCCACCCTATCACCATCTTGACTGCTGGCTGCCCTTTGTGTGGCCCTACCCCGCAGCACTGATTTGTAGATTGACATGAGAGGGCAGCTGCCATCTTGGCTGCTGCCCTTTAGCCTGTCCTGCCAGCCAGTGTCTTCCCCTCCTGGGCAGACTGCAAACCCAGGCTGTGAGGACCTCTGGCTCACACTGGGGAGACAACACTTTATTTTTATTACTTTTTTGTTTGATTTCCTGGGAAATCACGGCCAATGCCATTTTTCACCGAGATTGACGTTTTACGTGGTTTCCATAAAAATGGTGAAACCACAATTTAAGTAGGTCCTTAAGTATAGTGTTCAGAGCCCTTAAGTAACAACCAAGTTCTTTCCTCCTTTTAAACTTCTCTTAGACCTTTTTAAACTGGTCAAATTGGATACTGCTCTGCCTTGTGCCAGTCATGTACCACACTGGCCAGCCCAAGCACAGGTCAGGGGTCATTCCTCTTCAATGAAGGAAATGGCCAAAAAAACCTGATGAAAATAATTAATTTTATTAATGTAATAATACATTTTGTAAAAGCCTCTCAAGTTCTAAATCTTTAAGACTCACAGTTTCAGGCTTCCCCCTCTTAGGCATGAGAACTAGAAGCTTACTATGTTTTATATGCTGCCACATAAGTGCAGGGCTTCAAGAACCGGAGGGTTCAGAAAAATCCCAAATATTGCAAGGCTAATAATCAGGGACTTGAGTTTTCTCTGATAAAAAATATCCCCAATTTTCAAGTAAAAAAGTAACCCGAAATCCACATTTTTCCACGATCAAAATGAAACACCACTATATCTATATCTATAGATATAGATATGTCTATTATGGCTGTGTGAAGCTTCAGTCCCTGAGTCAATCTGGCGGAGATCTGGCCCGATTCAGGGGCCAAATCTCTGAAACTGAATGGAATCAGAGGACCCTTTAATCTCTCCGAATTGAATCAGAACCCTCCGAATCCATTCAAAGAGATTCGGAAAGATTCAGTGATTCACACATAGAGAAATCTTTAAATGTCTATCTACATATCTATCTACACATCTATCTACATATCGATATAGATATAGCGTTGTTTCATTTTGATCATGGAAAAATATGGATTTGGGATTACTTTTTTTAACCCAAAAATTGGGGATTTTTTTTTTATCAGAGAAAAGTAGGCTCCCTGCTTATAATACAGTTACAAGATCCAAGGGTAGTCAGGAGTTTACCCTGGTGTTCATGCTTCCTACAGTTAGATCAATACACTGGAAAGGAAAGAGGGAAAGGTTTGGGTCCTAATGTTCCTCCCTAGTCCCATTGGCTTAAGTAGGCCTAGGAGCTTCATTTCATGATTTTCCTTGGCACCAAAATCCACAGACAGTGCCTTTGCACCTATGGTCCATCATTGTATTCTAGTGGTTTGCTTTCTGAGGGAGCTAGATAATAGCCTCTCTGCATATTTACTTGTGATTTAATACTGTTCTAAGCAGCTTTAACACTCATTTCCCTTCCTCGCCTTCCCACTCACCCAAAGTGTCTTCACAGACATGCAGACTGAAAAACTGGTGGCAGCACAGTTACTGATGGGAAGAAATGGGTATGGGGTTGGCTCCATAGGCATATGCTGGGAATCCAGTGGAATCTCAAGTTTCACTGGGTAAGCAGAGAGAGCTGTACGTGCCAAATAGCAAAACTCGAGGACTGCAAGAGTTAGGACTCCTGTTAAAGTTAATACATTACAGGCTGTGTGCTACAAGCTACACCATTCAACACACAGGGCAGCAAGAGTTTACTTTGCTGTTGACACACTCCTTCTTGGATTTCCTCGTTTCTACTTTAACTGTCCAATATTGCCGTTGCATTAAAGCAAGTTTTTATATTTTATAAAGTTGAAATAAGGAAGTCAGCAGATGATTGTTCTATTTGATCAAGAGGTGTGGCAATGGATTAACTTTAACTCTTAAAAAGTGTTGCAAAGTACTTGTTGCCAACTAATCTATGGAATTTAATCAGGGAATATCCCAGTCTAACTCACCTTCAGAGACCAGCTAGGGACCTAGTGGGGAATTGCAGATCATCATAATTTAACATACACTATTATTGTGTTTACTCCAGGAATGCCTTAAAGGCAATGGTGAAATTAACGGGGCAGTTTTTCAAAACAACCTAAGGGGTTTAGGAATGCAATTATCATTCATCTCGTTCATGGGAGTTGTGCTTGTAAAGCCAGGAGATGCTCTTCAAAATCTACCATGAAATTACAGTGATATTAAAGGCAAGTAGGGCATTACTGTAATAGTGCTTTTAGTATTTCTTTCCATGTTCTCTTGTGTTCTACATGTATTTCTTGCTTACCTTGTATATACCATACCTGGTAGTGCAAAATAAAATAATATAAAAAGTTTCAAAATAATATAATGCTTCTTTTAATGCAGTATCTAGTTTACAGTGCCTTTTAAAGTCTTATATTCATCTTATGGTCTAGATAATGCAGTGTTTTTATAGTAAGACTAAAATTTTAGGTATCTCTGTTGTATATACTTTTGCGTAAGGTGAATGGTATAAATACTTCAGTGAAATGTTCAAACTGGGCATGCCAAGTAATATTTAAACACCTGAAAGTTTGTGATTTGGTGAGAACATACCTCATTTATTAGGCATATGTGGTCACTGGTCAAAAATCAACTTTCCATTGGCTGATAAGCTTAAGGTACAGGCAGAAAAGAGGAGTCAGCTTCACATGGAAACCTACACACACATCCCCCTTCCCTTCTTTCTCTGACTGAGTGGCTGAGTTAGTAGTATGGTATCAGGAGCTATTGAAGGCCTTGATCACAATCTGGGA